TTCTCCACGAGCACAGAGAACTGTATACTTGAGAACTTGATTTTCACTTCCTTATACTCATGATGAAAATTTGGCCATAGATTGAAAGTCACTTTGACCAGAAAAATAAGGATATTTGGTGATTTCAATTCAAAATTCAACAAGCCTCAAGAAAACCTATTATTTAGAAAAATTCCTTATTGGCTATAGAATATCTAACTCTAAACCTGAACACATATTAGTGGTCATTAACGAAAATTAGGTTAATTCGTTAGGACAATAAATTGTTAAATCAGGCTAGCCAATATACGTATTACCATGAGTAAATATATCAGCTATGCATAGGTCTTAATTTGGAACCAGTTTTCAAATCAGTTACATTCAACATACAGACTGACAGGTAGAAAACTAGCCGTGGTATTTTCGAATTAAAATAAGGTAAATAGATTAAATGCAACTTCTAAAGGTATTATTCATGAAAGTGCATTGAATAAATATTCGTATTTGTTTAGTAAACATGTCGCAATAATTTTGGAATAATAATTCGGTCACCAAACATAATGCATGAGTCGATAATAGTGAGTGAATCGCGCCGGCGGAAATATTGTTGCAGTTCTCCTTGTAGACGACGATTCGGCCACTTTGAGAGGATATAACCTTTGACTTCTTGTAGTATTTTGTCATTTATTGTAGCTTCTTTAATAGCTTTAAATGTAACTGGTAGACCATCAACTGCGTCTTCCAACACTCGATGTACTTCTGACTCAGTCGCAGCCACCAAGATATCTTCTTCCTGATTCGCTTGAGAACCAATGAGTCTAGACAAAGCGTCAGCTTGTCCGAAAGAAGTAGTAGGTTGGTACTTAATTTTGAAGTCGTAGCCCAATAATGTGGTTCCCCATAGTTGCAATCTGTTCGCCGTATAGACTGGGATCCCTTTCTTTGACCCAAATATGGCTAGCAGCGGTTTATGGTCAGTTAAGAGTGTGAAGCTGCGTCCAAATATCATCTTGTGAAATTTTCTTACGGCGAAAATAATTGGAAAAGCTTCTTTCTCAATCCGACTATATTTACGTTCTGTTGTAGTTAAAGACCTTGCTGCATGAGAGATTGCCTTCTCTGACCCATCAGGCATTCATAGTTCTTTCGTTAAACCACAAAGTTTTCTCAAAATATTACCTCTCATTTCCTATATGATTTCTAATTATTTAGTCTGCCATTTCTACGTTTATAAGTTGATAATCTCTCTTAATGTTAATCAAAATTTATTAACAATAATGCATTTATTAGTTTTGCACTGTCCAAGATGGATTTGTCATTGAGCTTGGTAAATTTTTTCAGATTCCACTTATTTAGAGAAGAGTCACGTCATTGGTTCGATTTAAATAAGGGAATAATCGAACAACTAATAAAAAAACGGACTTCAAAGGCGTTGGAAAATTTACGATTCTGCCCTCAGAGCACTCTTTTTTGACAGTTGCTTAGCCCATATTTTGATACATAGATCATAAATTCACTTATTTTGAAATATTTATAATTATTTCCATAGATGTTTACGAAATAGGTGTTAGAATCTCAATCACTAAAATAATAAGATCCCCCATTATCGAGCAACTAATTGAAAAGAAATATTTATTCACTTAGGTTATAGTTTCACTGACTTAATTTGATTGTGATCAAATCAATATAAATGTAAAATAAAATATTTTGTTTGTTTTCTAACTTATAATAGGATATGTATCAAAAAAGTTTAAATAATCAACTAGAAGATTATTTACAGGAATCTGATCCATTTTGGGAGCCATTAGAAGATTTATTTATTGGGATAGCACCAGCGTTTCTACGTGCGTTAGCTTATCGTCTGGATGTAGATGAAGAAGTAAAAATTATGGATTTCATTGGCGATGAGTTAGGAACTATTAATGTAAAATTAATACCTTGTTCGGCATCTAATTCGAAATCCCCGTTACCGTCCGATAGTACTTCAAACAAAAAAGATGATGTAACGTTTATTGAAGACCCTAGACAATTGATTGGGAAACCATACAGTTTCAAGGTAAGTATTATTCTGTTGCTGTTAGTTGAAAAGTTAGATAATTTGTAGGATAGACTACACCAATATAAAACTAATGCGCATGTCAAACTAAAGCTAATAAAGATAAAGATAATATGCTTTTAATTATAAAATGCAAGGAGTCGATTGTTGGATGTTCGTATATGTCACATTTTTACATTCACTTGAATCGAGATAAAATTTGGTAGCATTTTAGCTTTTTTATTTCCACACATTTAACGCATACAAATAACAGTTGGTTTTGATACAGTTTTAAGAGGATGGTGTCATTGAATTTAATGGTATTCAAGAAATACGATTTTCCATGTAGCGAATTTCATCTTAACTAATCAACTGTAACATAAATGCAGTACTCTGAACAATCATCCTTTTTAAATCTGACGACAATAGGTCATTTTTGCATGATATGGCAAATCGGATAAAGATAGGAATTTAAACTGTTGAATGCGAACTCAGTAGTGTGAAGGTTAAGCTCACTGATCCATGATGGTGCCATAGTTGGGTGCATTTGAACAGTTGCATAATGGAACGAGTTCTTGCTAGCTTACACACATTGTCCAACGAAAGTCAGTCTATGATGTGAAACTGTAGACTTTATTAAGGTTCTTAGTCTGTCTAATTGACAAATTATGTAATGTTACGGAGTCCCCCGCGATTTAATATCGGCTCTTATTGATGCAAGCGTATTATTTTTCCACTGAATTTTCTATGGTTTGGTGTTATTTATTGAATAACGTCAAGGACAACTGACTGATAAAGTCATAACGACCGTCATTGGTAGGTAATAATTATAAGATCATATATTTTTTCCGAATGACTATGAAAACATATCTAATCTAATCTGACATAGTGATGAAGTGAAAACTAGAGTTTCATTTATTTGTGTTACTGTTTTCATCGTAAAAAAATATTACTTATGAGTGTAAATGTAAGGTATAAACGCAGGAGAAGCTCAGATATCATCATCAAAGTATTTAATAGGTAGAATTTCCGCATTTCGATATAGTTTTCAAAACAAATCATGATCTCAACCTGTTGGTAGATAAGTAACGTTTAACGGACCATTTCGTCATTTAGTTAAAAGCTACAAAGAGCCTACTTGTACACGGAAAATAGCTGACTGAATTATCAATCAGCATGCTAGATTTAGATACTTGTAGAACATTTTCCGGATGACGATTCTTGTTTTTTCTTTAGATATTAAAGAAATTTTTACAATGTTGATTTTTTCATATCGGGATAGAACATAGTAATTATTCGAATCAGATTATATGGTTCACTTAGATTTCGGTTCGCCAGAATTTATATTGATATTTATCATATGTAGCACATAAATCGTCAAACAACATAGCGCATTTTATGTGACGAAAAAAGAATAAAGAGAAAGTATTTCTTTGAACGAACTCATTTACTTTAGCTGTATAGTCGTATATAATTGTCTGATACGTATTTAAAAATTTTCTTCTTCAAACTCTGTTTTTATCTTATAACACAAAAGATGACTTTAACTTTTTGGTGAAATATTCTTTTATACTTGTCAAAATCAGGGAGAGAATGACAAGATAACATATACAGAAAAATTAGTATTATATTATCGTCAATGATATACAATTCGGAATCCTCTTAACGCAAAAATTCATGTCTCATTACTTGTGAGTATTTTTTTCTAAGTTAAAAACTAGCTGTTATTACAACATTTAACACACAGTCGTTACACACTTAATCAATACTTTTGTCTTAATGATTTTCATTCATACCTGAATAATTGCATACAAACCCCTTTCGATATTGATTCTTTTTATGGACAGTTTATGACTCGACAGAATTTTACTGTTGATAATTCCATAGAAATAGAGAACACCACATTTCTTATGTATATTCTTAATCATCATACTATTCGAATTATTGCTGATGCCTTTTCTTAAATGATACAAGAACCCTCTATTTTATTAAAGATTAGGATTAACAAAAATTACCGATGAGTAACGTTTAAGCATTGATTTTTTTTAGGGTTTTTATCTACCAACAAAATTTTAAATTTCTAATCATTTGACACTATTAGATTTATTAAACGGTTAGCATTAATTAAATCTACCACTTACATGAAATTATCACGACTGCATATTCTTATCTTCAAACATCTTTGACAATTTGTTTGCAGCCGGAATTCATCGGTGAAATGATTGATACTTTAAAATAATCTACTAAGATGATTAGATGGCAAATATTTTCCATATCGCAAAGTTTTAAATGCATGAGTTTTAAGGCACTGTAATTAGAAATTTGTGTCTATCGCGATTAGCTGGTACATAATTATCGATTTAGTCTAGTTTTCGTTAAATGATATACTTAGACCTTCAGTTTGCATGGGAGCTATATGCACATAATTTTTACCGATCGCTTCTTGACAGCAGAGCTGATAAAATCAATTTAACACAACTTTAAGAGTGAAGTTCCATATCTACATGATCAATAAGAAAATAAATGCAATTTTTCATTTCATAATTTATCATATGACTCTGGAATATAACTGGTTTAGCAATTTTTGGCCAATACAAAAATTAAACCTTATAACAGAACTTCCTTATTAAAAGATCATTTAAATGTAGAAATATAATTCTCAACGTCCAACCGGAACCACTTATTGTGTACAAGTTCAACTAATTAGATTGCACCAATGCATTATTTTCAACCAATTTAATCACTCATTTTTGAAAAATTTACGTCTCAAATTACAGGAGCACCACTTATTCCTAACTATATATTTAGTCATTCCCATAAATTGTTTTTATATTAGGTGTCCAAAATTTTCAGTTACTGGAATAAATATACCAATTAGTGAATGAAATGCTGAACTGGCGATATTTCTTTCAAAGTATGAAAAATTCCCTAGTAGGTCATTAGCAAGATCTTTCTGACTTTATCTGAACGTCAATAAAAGTGAAAATTAGGTCTCCCGACAAAAAAATCATACTTGATTCTACTTAATTTCATACATTTGGTAAAGAATTTATATTATGAATCATATACTATTGCAACTAATTCTTGTATATCAGCACTTTTCAGTGATTAAAAACTGATCTTCGTTTGCATTGGTATTTTGATTAACCTTCTTATGAAGACATTACTTTCCTAGCATAGTATTTTATTCATGCATGACTGTCAAAACGAAACGCATCTAGTTTTGTCAATGACTAGATAAGACGGAAAACATATCAATCAGTGTGGAATGTGAGCTTGAGGTTTCGTAATGATGAAGTCAACATTCACTAGTTTAAATAAATACGAAACATATTAATTGTATTGAAATATAATTTTTATTTATATAAAATAGTAGCATGGATGTTTCAACAAGCCTGTCTAATTTATTTATTTTATCGTATTTGCTTTTGTTACAACAGGTAATATTAAGTTCTTTAAATTTAAATGACTCAGAACAAAATAAACGAAGATATACAGTATATTATCGTATATTTAAAGAATCAGAATTAACAACTGCCACGATGGAACCTAACAAATTACATACACGATTATATTCAATAGATGAAATCACACATGAACATTTAGACTATTTTCATTCAGAATTTATATGTTTCATGATTTATTGTTCACAATTGGAAAATGATGTGAAAAAAACTTTCCATGTGAGTTTTCCATTATTTTTAAACATTATTTTATGACTTTTCATCATTGAGTAGTGCAAATGTTGTCCATTATTAAAATCATGAATTAATCATTGTTAGACCATCATTAGTAACTTGGAAGCACTGGACGTCTGTTTTGTCCTGGTACGGGACTCATCAGCAGTGAACATCCACGACTCCTGTTACTCTCAGGATTCAATCCAAGGGCTTTCACTCTTGAGCGCGAACGCTTAACCTCTAAACTAATGAGCCGAGTGTTCGGACGCAAAGCTGAAGGTCGTTAGTTTGAATCCTGTGAGTCGCTGGAGTTGTGGGTGCTCACTGCTGATGAGTCCCATACTAGAACAAAAAGGCTGTCCAGTGCTTCCAGCTTTCTAATGGTGGTCTAACAATTATTGATTCATGATTTCAATAATTATCTAATAAATCTTCTTTTCTTTAAGATAGACTGAAAGCATAAGGTTATTTGAATGTTTGCTCTGATACATTCCCAAAACAGTATTATAGCAAGCATTAATGAACTCAACCGAGAGTTATTACTACAGTTTGAGCTATTTAGCAAGCGTGTTCTACACTGTTTTACAATTGCATTTTTGTCCTAAAAAATGTTATCGATTGTTGAGTATACTGTTTACTTTCCAAAGTTGTCGTATGGATTGTTAGACTAATCCATATCTTTGAGTTTGTGAATATTGGTAGTTTTGTGCAGATTGTTTAATTTGATTTGAAATTTCATCAAGAAGTGGCATAAACTAGAAAACCAATAAGAATTTACAAGTATTGAATGATCTTTATTCTATTTTATACACTCTACTACTTTGCATTAAGAGTAGATAGTCATTTTCAAATAAACATATACACTTAAATGTTTTAAAATTTGTAAGTTTATTTATGAATAAATGTTTACTCCCTCAGTTGTGAACTTACCATAAATATGCTAAAAAGTGCTAGTGTTTAATGAGATGATGATTCAAGTGGATATCAACTAGAGAATATTTACCTGATTGTACTCATAGTTTGAATATTTAAGGGGGAAATTCAGAAAAACGACTGATATGATAATTTATTTGTATTGTTAATTTGTGTCTCCCCATTGATGGTAATGACTGTGGTTGATCAATCTCATTTGATATATGTGCAACCTGACGAAGAGCGCGTCTTAGATTGCACTACCCTTCACTATTCATCTCTGCTTATAATGCTTGTGACGTGTGGCTATATCAATGCGTTTCACTTAGGATGCACACATGCCAGATGAGACTGATCAATTACAGTCCTACTTATCAACTAAAAGATTCGAATTTCCAATACTACTGAATTAAACTTCAGCCCATCTCACAACCCGACGGCTGTCTGAACTCGGTAGCCAAGCTGATAACGCTTGAGTGATTGAACAGAATGTCACTGGGTTCGAGTCTTGGAGACAATATTAATTCTGAGATTTAGACATACTCAGCTGATGAGTCAGTCCCAAACAGGAAGAAATGCGCGTCCTTAATTCCACTCCTGGCCATTATACACTTCTGTTTATTATGACTGAATATTTTAAAAACTTGTTTGTCGAAAAATTGAATTTACAACTAATACAGTCTTACGTTAATAACATCGTATTTTATTTCTATGTATCAAGAGTGATTCAGAGCCGATTGGCATAAATTGGCATAAATTATAAATTCGCATCTAATTAAAAATGGTCTTTACTGAAAAGACTGAAGAGTCTTTGAAAAAACAAAATTACGAATATTCATATGTTCAATGGAACATTTTTACCGTGATCTTTTACTTTCGAAATATTTAAACTCATTTTTATCTGAGTTCTGAAAGCCAATCTATGGATATTTTGTTGTTTGCTGTTTCAAATATTCTATTTTCCAGTTTTATATCATGAAATTACACTTTACAACGAAATGTATTTTGTTGAGAAATAATATGATTTTATCTACATATTTCTAACTTGGATTTAAGAACGTTATTAAAAAGGAGTACAGTGTTACCCACAAATTTTACTTGATATATTTCTGTAGTCACCAGAATGTGTATAAAGTTATCGACATTTATTCATCATTCATGTAAAAAAAACTATTTTTCGAATTTATGAAATTTATCGGTTAAGAAAAAATCAAACACAATGATTGGTACTTTACGTTTTTTCATTACATGAGAACTGAAAGATATGTAAGTAAATCCTTCTACTTACAAATAATGAGTAAGGAAAACAAAAGATCGATATTGAATCCACTATCCATAGTAAATTTTAGATGTATTTGTTACATAAGTGTGTTAATTGGTTGATTCTTACGAAATAACTGATTTTATAGTTTAGTACTGGGTAGTAGGCATAAGAACTATCGCCAAGTTCATTTATTTTTGGAACGTAAATAACATGAAGTTATTAACAAAAATTAGCCTCTGCTTAAGGGAAGCGTTGAAAACTATAGTGACAAATGAATCAAGACATTTCTTAGTTCGATTGATAAATTAAGGCGAGTTTATGCTTTTGACAATATTTTTAATTTTTACAGAGAGCATCATCGAGACCATACAATCAACAGTCAAAAGCACGGATTATTGACAGAGATAGTGTAAAATAAATTTAATGTTTCAAAAATAGTATGATCCATTCACTCTACAAGTTCATTATTCTTATAAATATTTGACGAACTGCAGGCTTACAAAGATTTCAATAAATGGTCTCATTTGTTTTATTGTAATTGTTAACGTTGCTAAGTATAGTGTAATCTGAGCCACTTAGGTACGCTGACTTGAAATTCTCCATTTTTGAATACTATTGTTAATAACTAAAGTTTCCGTTTTATAAAGGCTGTAGAAGAGGCTAGCTTATAAGTAGATGATAAGTATTAAGCAAACATCGAGACTATTTGTTCAGTGTTTCAAGCTATTCAGTGTTCAAATTTTCATGTTAATACTGGAGGCTTCTATCGTTTCCTGTGTTTACTAAAGCAGTAAGTAATTGCATTTTTCAATAAATATGATATAATTTTTAATGACTTCCTGCTTTCTGAATATCTTTGTCAAGGATTATTCACCTACACAGTTATTTCCAAGACGTTATTCCCACTTATCAGTCGAAGAATTGGATGATATCAGTAAATTGAAAACAGAGTTAACTATTTTGCAAAGAGGATTGGATTCATTTTTGAAAAAAGATAAACAACTAGATGTGAGTAATTACAATATGTTCTTAAAAACGAAAATTATATGAACATGATTTTCATGTATATCCATTTTTGTTAGCATTTACGTTTGTAGTACCTCTGTGGTGCGCGCTACCACATACATTTAAGTTTGTTCATGTCTAATTTGGTTAAGTCCTTGTGATTAACTTATTTAATGGAGTCATTTGTACAGCTGTGGTGCTGTGGTGCGAACTACTTATAAGTAGTATATAGCGTGAGTGTCAACGTAAAGTCTGGTAGCATAATATGGGGGGAAGATCAAGAAAGGAAGAGTCAGAAAACAATGGAATTTGTATGAAACGCATGAAGAGTGACAATGGATTGATGTTTGGCAACAGGAACAGTCCAGTTCCATAGGATGAACTGATCCTTTGCAAATGAACGATTTACGATATGGTTTTCCGATTTTACTGAGTAACTCTGTAATTTCCGTTAAATACAATTCGGTTGCCTCCACCTGTGTTCTCATTCACTACATTTGGTGTCGCTGCCTACGCAAAAGATGAAGATCCCATGGCCGAAGGAGTTTGAAGACGGGGATGCGCGGGGCTTCCTGAAGGAGTTTGGGGCCGTGGCGGAGCTGGTGGGGGTGAAGAAACCGAAGGCGAAGCTGGTGGTGCTGAGGACGCTGCTGAGAGGAAGGGCGAAGGCCGTATATGACGGCTTGGACGGTGCTGGCGGGAAGACGCCATGGGAGGCGGTCGTTGAGCGGCTGATGACCGAGTTCGACAGCCCGGTGGACAAGGAGGAGGCGTTGCGGAAGTTCCGGTTGGCGAGGCTGTCGGCTGATGGTGACCCGCTGGTGCTCGCTGTGGAACTCAAAAGGTTGCTGCGCCGTGCGTTGCCGAATATCGATGAGGAGTCGGAGGCACAATTGTTGGCGTCGCAATTTATTGAGAGTGTGCCTGCCGCTGTTTCCCAGCAGCTGAGATTAGTAAATGCAGCACAACCTATGGACATCGGTGAACTGGCGAAGGTGACTCGTCAGCTGATGACACGAACAGTAGCTCCGGTCGGGTGCGAAAAGCAGGAGATAAATACTTTCGAGAAGAAGATTGAGGAGTTAGAGCGTGAGATAGCAGCATTACGAGTAAATCATAAAAGGAACGATAAATGTTACGCTTGTGGAGAGGCAGGACATTGGAAGATAAACTGTCCAAGAAGACGACGACGACGATATGTTAAACATTATAACGTGTTTTCGTTCCACCCTAGGAATTGGGAGGTTCTTGCACTAGTAGATAGAGGGGCAATTTAAGCCAGAGTGTACATAAATGAACGGGAGTTAGTGTGTTTGATTGATACAGGGGCAGCTATATCGTTAATAAGCAAAGAGCAATGTAAGACAATTAAACCATGTACATTAGCTGTCCAAACCATAGGAGGGCATATGCTAGAGGTGTTGGGGGTATCTAACAGTATTGTAAAAATGAGTGGAGCTGAGATAAATTTTCCGTTCGTGGTAACCACAAGCTTATCGAGACCGATATTAGGAGCAGATTTCCTAAGAGAGGTAAAAGCAATAATTGACTTGAGAAGCGGGAAAATGGTCACAAAGTACGGTTCATTGCCAATACATGAAAGTAGCGAAGTGGCTGAAATAAGGATGGCAACGGACGTCTCGACCAAGAAACCTAACGTTAACGAGTTATGCGCAAAGTATGCGAAACTGTTCACTGGAGATGGGGAGCCGTATGGATTTTGTGACAAAGTAAAGCATGAAATTCCTATAAAGAACGACCGAGTAAATATATTTACAACACGTCGTGTCCCAGTGCATTTAGAGGCCGAGGTAAATCGACA